CAGAACGGCCAAGAGATAAACCCTGGCTGTTCGGGGGTTTGGTTTTACATCGAAACTCGTACACGGACCACATCAGTAAATCCTGCTGCTTTTGAGAAATGCCATGATACCATTAGGTATCAATGATAAAAATATTTTAATTGCTAAACTAATTTTCACCAAGACATCTTTTTTTACTTTTGAAAGCAGCCCTTGCAGAAATTTAATTCAGCAATTCCACAACTTAGGCATCCAAAAAAGTACAGGGAAGTATGGCTCTTTAAATAGTTTTTCTGTGACCTAACAGAATGAAAAATTTATTGTAGACATTTCTGTAGAAAAATTAAGTTGGTGCTACAAATATCAAGACTCTGGAACAAAAACATACTATATATTGCAAAGGTTGTGTTCAAAATTCCCTGTCAAGGCAAGACGTAAGGAAAAAAGCACAACTTCCTGTACTTTTTTGTCATTTTAGAAATAAGCTTGCACCTTTTCACCGTTTAAAAATACACTGAGGGATTTGAATAAGAGCACAGAGAGAAAAAAAATACAGAAGTAGTCAGATTTTTGAATAGTTTCTGTAGTACTGCACAGAGTTAAGAGAAAATTAAGTCATACATCTAGAAGAAGCCATTTAAAACACTGGTAGTTAACAAAGTGTATTTCCTTTTTGAGCACAGTTGACAGAGATAAAACAATAAGCTAAATTTATCAGAGACTGATATTTATATTCTGACTCCATATGCTGCAGTTACTGCTGCTGAATAGAAAACTCCTTCCCACACTATTTTTTAGGGAAGAGGCAAAATTAAAATGCTTTCAAATTCCTTTTTTTCATTTTAAGCACTTTTTTTTTTTTATGATTTGAGACACTAAATGCTCAAATCCTTTTCTTTTTTCCTTTTTCATTTTACAGATGTACTTTTATTATGGTTTTTTTGACTAAACGAGAGACTTGATTACTAAGGATAAAAATCAACGCATAGAAAGACCTGTAGACCTGGAAAACAAGATGGGAATGGATGCCAAAATGGAAAGCCGAAAAAAACTGCTTTCGAAACACTAGCTCACACTTTATGTTCACTATTTCTTTTTTTGCAGGGCAGTTTTACAGGACAGCAAGAGCAAAAGTGGACGTAAAATCCCGTGCCTCAAGTGCAATAATTTACCCCTTGAATGCTGGCTTCCTTTCTTAACTACTGTCAACACCAAAGTTTAAAAATACTCGTATTTTACCAAACTCCAGAAGTCAACCTGTGAGGAAACACAAAAATTACTTCATCTATTCAGATAGCTAGAAGATCATGTGATAAACAGATTTAAAAATATCTTGTAACACCCCGTAAGCCTCAGCTAAGTTTTGTGATTCCTGCTCTTCGTTTGTCTGGGGTTACCACCAGAGCCAAAGCTACACCAAGTACGGCTTCTGCACAGTCGTGGAAGGAGATGCTTCAATGGAAGCACAGTGGTACAGGGCCTCTTTGTGCCCCAGGGCTGGAGGGAGCTCCAGGTAAACAGGCACTGCACCCCAACAGAAGCTGAGCCGGTCCCTGGTCTGGGGGCTGCTGCTGGTGGTGGGAGGGACCCCGGGGACCCCCCGAGCAGCACCACGCCGAGCAGCACACACAGGAATCGCTCAAACTATCGCGTGCCGTGTCACGGCCTGCAAGCGTCAGGAAAACGTGGCCAGAGCTGCGATGAGGCTGCACCACGGCTTCCGACGAGGCTGTGGAGCAATGACCATGAAGTGCATTTGAACGTAACCCTCGTTACTAGGGTGGACCGATATCCAGTGGCTGTTATTTTAAAAGCAACTTCTTGTGCCAGAAGTAGTATCTCTAGTGACCCTCTTGTAAAAGCCTTGCTACTGTGCTAATAAGAAAAAAATCAGAACAGAGAAGGAAACAACCATTGTCTCTCTGGGAAGCCAGCAAAGTACGCATGGGCTGTTATATAAAAACTTTGGATTCAAAAACAACCACACGCACTGCACTCCACAAACCTGCCAAGCCCAGAGAGCAATTGCAGTAGCCCATTGTCTCCGAGGAAGGTACTGGGTGGGCAAAGGATGAAACAAGGAAAAGATAAAATTGTTTTTTGTACCCCTTAGTGGCCGGACATCAATGCTGCAGCTTTGAAAGCTGTCTTTCCAAAAGCCGTAAGGGAAAGAAAAAAAAAAAAAAGCAGAGATTAGGACTGCAGCTATACATGGGAGAGGAAATATGTTAAAGGGAAGCTTTTAATGAAAGAATGGATGAAAGACTTCCAACTACAGGAGATTAACGTTCTTATCATATATACTCTTATTGCAAAGTAGAGGAAAGGGGTGGGAGGGGAAAACCCTCCTTCAAAGACCTGGAAGCTCTCCGACACTAAAAATGAAGTCAGTACATTTAGTACACGCTACAGTTTGTAATGATTCTCTTTGTACACTTTCTTCTGCACTCTAAGTGTTTAAAAAAATCAGGTAAATCATACCAAAGACCTAGATTTGCTGAATTACCGATTTTTTAAATGCCACGTGAAGCGGGTAGGACCCTTTTTTGTAAAGTGACAAGCAGCAGCAGCAGCAGCAGCACAGATGACCAGGTGGGGGCAAGTAACACACAGAGGTACGCGGTCTTGTCTTTCAGCTTGGCCGTCTGTAATTCAAGTGCCTGCTTCGCTTCCAAGCTACGCACAATCTCCCCACAGAAAAACAAAGTCAGAGTATGGAAGGACAGAGTCACTGCAGACGCGGTGCCTTCCCTGATATTCCTCTGTGTGATGCAAGAAAGCCAGCGCCCATCTTCATATCCGAAATATGAAAGGTTACCGATCAACTGTATTTGCTGAGAAACCAACCAGATGCATGACAAAAACATGGATTTTACAGAAATATGGGGACAAACACAGTTTTGCTGAACGTGGTATTAGACAAGCAAAAACAAGAAGTGGAAGGCATCTAAAGCTGTTTGGAAAGAGGGCAGAAAGGGAGGAAAAGTTTTCAGCTGTGTACTGAACAGCAGTGTTTGCAGACCAGCCATAACTTTCAAGATGTCAACTGAAGACAGAAGGTACAGGTGAATCTTGATTTGCCATCAGGAACCAGAGCTCATTTCCCAAGGCAAAGGGATCTCTCGTTCTGTCACAGCAGACGGTGGTGACTGAAGCTAGAAGGCCACATGGGGAGAAAACTCTCTGCACTGGAGCTATCAAGAAAGTGTTATTTGTTTATGCAGAATATTAAAAAGAATAGGGCTGTCAGACAAGAGCAGGGCAAGCAAGTAAGATGTAGAAGAATTTACGGAATAAGGAGATATGCCTAATTCCTTTCCTTGAGGAATTATTTCTGACTCCAGTGGAACCTCGCATCTCTATTTCTGGGGCTCAGACATGAAAACAGACTCAACAATTGACTGACGCCACCGGCTACTCTCATAGTCCGAGAATTGCTCATGTTTCAGGTCCTTTTTTAATGTGAAGCAAACTGGACGCTAGACACACCACAACACTGTCACGGGAGGTCTATCCCATTTACAGTCACAGGCAGTTTTGGGGGAGAAGGGACAGGGCAAGGCTTCACCAGTCACTACACTCCACGTCCATCCTTACTGATACTGCAAGCTCTAAAATAGTAATTTACATACTTTGTAGCCACCTAAATACTTGATCTCGCTCTTTAGACACCCTGAAAACAGAACTGTGCATGTCTCAAAATAATTTAAATGAATTAGCAGAGAATATCTTTGAGGGGATAATCTGCCAAAACACATATTTTTTAAAAGCATTTCTTCCATCGGATTTAAAATGTTTATGTTTACGTTTCAGCAAAGGAGTCCTTTATAGGCTATAGAACTGGAGATACAATGCTGCATAAGCTCAATAAACAAGTTATAGTTACATTAGGAAGATTTATGGCTTTTGTCCCCTAAAACTATTCTGATGCTGTTTTGGCTCTCTATTACATACACACATACATACACCATCAATTCATTTTAAGCCTGCGTCTTTGCATCCCCATCACCATACGTACTGGAAATAGGGCAGCTGAACCAAACTTTAACACACCGGAGCTACCTGAATAACATTCACTGGAACCTGGGAGGCGGTCGAGAACCGAGGTGTGACAGAGCCCAGCCCTGCAGTACCCTCTGCACCTCAGGTCCATGCCTGTGTCGGGCCGCTGCTCTGCCCAGCACGTACCGCAGCGTCAAACGGGCCATCACGAACTTGTTCACAGTCGGAAGAAAACGCAAAAGGTTAGGGCTTTCTGCAAAGCTGTAAATACGTAGAAAGGCAACAGCTAAAATGGACAGAAATGCGCGTGTACAACTAGCGCCTGCTCCCCCACGGCTCCGCGTGCCAGATGCACGTTCCGTACGTCCCACACCTCCAGGCATGAGGCTGCTGTTGGCAAAACCACTACTGGTGTGAGGCAAGGCGCAAGAAGGGGTTTTGAGGAGGTTCTGACGTAGCTTTGAGAATAAAAATCAGAGTAGAGCAGTTATATTTATGAGCCTCTTGTGTGACTGTCTTTGACTTCCCGTTCGAGCAGCTCAAAAAATGTTTACATCGTGTACATTAAATGAAACCATCTTAGTTCTGAAGAGTATGACAAGTTTACACAGCACAGGAAAATCCTGCTCCCCTTACCTGCTTTGAATGTGGTTTGCTTATTGTCAACATCTATAAACGTATATCTGAATAAGAAACATTACTACGTTTGTTACGAAAACATACCATAAGTTAGCAAAACTGTTTCCTGATATTAACCTCCTGTACTGATTTTTAAAAGCCTCTCTCGGTTAGCACTGGCACACCTTTGTTAGAAGAGCACAAAGAATGAAGACATGAATTTTCATTTTCATGTTACACCTAGTAAGCATAATCATTCCAATAAATTAATTACAGAATGTTTCCCCAAATGTGTACATGTAATTTTGGGAATATTATTTTCAAATATGTTTAAAGTCTCAACCACTGTTTAAACATTTTTCTATGTTCTGGGGTTTTTTGGTAATCTTTAGTGCTACCATCAGCAATTTTGATACGTAAATCCAAGGAGATATACAGAGTAAACTGAACAAAAGAAACCTAAGTCCAGGTCATTTGCCTGCCCAGCAGTTATGAGAAAAATAGATGTTACCCAGAAAATGCATTAACTGTGCTATGCACAGACTGCATTGCTGGTACAGCAGTCACCGCATGGCACCAAACATTTGCTCCCCAACAGGCAGAGTAATTTAAGAAAAAAACAAGCTACTTAGCTCCAGTTTCATACAAAAGGACAGGATATGAAAATATAAGAAGAAAGGTATTAATGAAATTTAGTAACTTTAAGCTAAGGCTTAGAAACTGCATTTTAAAAGATTTATAGGGAGAAAAAAATTACAAAAATTCCAAATACAATGTGGTTCTCTGGGTTTCTGGCATGGCAACTGAATGCTCTGCCACTCTTCTGGCATCGTGCTGGGAATAGGGAAATCATTTCTTAAATCTCTGAGGCCTGGGCAACCACACTGGCGACTTTAACCAGCCATCTGAGATCGAGGGCACACTACAGTCTGTTTAGCAATGGACTATGGATAGCTATGCAAAAACATACACAAGAAAAACTCTAACCAAAAAGCTATCGAATGTTTATGGGCAAGAAACAAGTGTTTTACCAGAAAAGAGGGTAAAGACAAATTCTCAGCTCTCCCCTCTCAAGCAGCTGAGTAGCAGCATGTGAATAGCAGCACCGTTTACACAGCTATCCCGAGGAAAAACCTCACTGCTATCAGCCGGCAGATCCATGCTGCAGAACATTTCATTTCCCTGCACCCAAACCCACTTCATTTACATATGCACCAAGTAAAATTATGGTATACTTTTTTTTTTTTTTAATGGGGAGAAAGAAAAAAAGAAAAAGTTTTGCAAAGGTCCCCAGTGCTGCAGCTGATCCGGACAGCCTTGCCACTGCAGCAGCGCTTCTGCAGGGAGTGTTTTCTCTTGGACTGGCAGGGGACGCTGTTCGGGAAATGATCTTTCTGCTTCGGGAAACTGGTGGGCAAGACAAAAGCATGGCTGATTGTCTAAGAGTTTTCAGTTGCTGGTGACAGGGTATGTATTACATAGTATGATTATTACAAGCACGTATCTAAAATCTGTAGCACTAAACATCATATTTACTAACTTTCTGCATAGTAACATCAAAGAATGTTTTGCAAAATACCAAAATGCTAGATGTTAGTCTTAGCGGTTGGGCATCTCTCTGAGTTAATCAGTGCAGAATCCATACAAGAAGTTACAGTAAATTTTAGATGAAGCTGCCAGACTCCTGAAGGAGCGGCTACAGAATCTGCTTCTGGAAGGGGAACCAGCCCTGCAGGTCTGCTCTCCATTCCTTGCCCTCTCCTGTCACAGTTCACCCCTTTCCTAAGTGGTAACTTCTCTGGAACAGCATACAGCAAAGCCGTAACAAGCGCTGGTGTCTGCTCCACCGAGGGGCAATGAGGCAAGGCAGACGAGCGGGGGGGCAGAAATCTCATCGCACGACAAGAGGAATGACCGTGCTCCCTGGGTTATCAGCACTCATTACTCTCCTACCCTGCAGCACTTTTCAGCAAACTTTTAATTGTTACACAGTTCCTACTTCAGATTTTCTTTATGTCTTTAGTCCTCAAACTGTTTTTTTTTCCCTACTTACTTTGTTTAACAATAAAAGATTGTTGTATTCCCTCTTTATTTCACCCTCCTTCCCCCTGCTCCCCTGCAACTTCTTATATGCTCTTAGGAGTACAAAATACACGGGAAAGTTGGAAAGTTCACAACATGAATTGCTCTGAAATTACGTCTAGGTCTATACCAACAAAAATGCTGTCTTTCCATATATGACACTACTGAAATAATGGTACTGAAATGGTATAAATGAACGACTATTTCCTTCATCACAGCTTGGCACCCCTCATTATGCACTCCAATTTGCTTTCTGTTTATCTTTCTTTTCAGACATTGACATCAGTATCATTGCGGACAAATCCTTCCACATACAGAAGAATAAAGAAGGTATTTAAAAAAGTACTAACCTTCACAGCCCTCAAGGTTCAACATTATATCTTCATCCCTGTCATCTGCACCGGCTCCCAAAAGCATCCAACTCTCGACATTATCACTGTCAGATATCAAGCTCTCCTCCTCTGAGCTATCATCTATTACCAACACGTCTTGGATGGCATGAGCTCCAGCAGAACCAACTGGGTTAAGCTTCCAACTAGTGCTTTTCCTTTGCCTTGAAATGTCTGTGCCTGATCCAGCAGGACACAGGGTATTACATCCAGCAGCACTGGCGTGATTTGGTGTGGAAGATACCGGATGGTTACGTGTTTTACCTTGAGCTAAAGAGCTTGTTGACTTCTTTGCTTTGCTTTTGTAAACACTGTCTTCATCTGGTGTATCAGACAAGATGATGATCTCAGGATCATCTGGAAGCTGAGCACCACGATCAATGAAATCAGTGATTTTCTTGTCTTCATACTGTTTCTCAGTAGGAACTGAACTGTGACCCGTGACTCCTGCAACATCAGCTTCTTCATCTGTTTCCAGCGTGCTGATTTCTCCAAGATTTTGGGAATAGTGGATCTGGCTGTAAAGATGGAATTCCACCTCACTATCGATGCTCTGCTCACTGGATGACTCCTCATGATAAAGTTCATCTTCACAGACTTCAGTATCCTCAGCGTTTTCATATCCAACAAACATTCTGGAAAGCAAATAGTCTGTATCTGCAAAAAATGAAAGGTTCTATCAGAACGATCATAAATGTATGCCCCAAACCATCTTTCAAATGATACCTTTGGTCTTGCCAAAATTGCTAGGGTTAGTCATAGAGCTCTGTGTACAAAGATAAAACTGAACAGACTTAACAGCTACAACAATCAATGCTCAAATCCATAATAGCAAAAGCTATTTCAGGGTGCATCTGGTTTAATCTTAACTACTACTTTAACCTCAACTACTTTGGCTTCTGAAAGTTGCACTTAATGTGCTCTCAGCTTCCACAGCTCCTCTCCATCCTGAGTTCCAAACCAGGGTACCTGCATGGATCGGGAGCCAAATGAGTGTCTGAATCTGAGTTTCGATCATTCCACCAATAAGTGTTAATTCTGGGTACTTTGCAACTTGTTTTACTAAGTAACATACGTACCTAAAAAGGCAGGGAAAGAATGTTCAGCAATATTTGACAGAAATAACTTGCAGCCCATCTACACCTGGGCTGCAGAGCCACCTGAACTGGCACTTCAGCATTTAACCCTATGACGAGAAGTGCTAGGGCTATGACACAGTAGCACCCAGACACGCTCTGCACAAGCTCAGGTCTGAAGGCAGCATAAAAAAAAAAAAAGATTAGTAAAGGTAGTATACAAATCTGCAGCCTTCATACAAACTAGCATGTCACATTGTCCCATCGACATTTACAAACTGAGTTCAAATGCCATGAAAATGCAACTACAGTGCTTTTAGACCTGAGGAAGACATACCTGCAAACTCAGCTGCCCAGCTCAATGTTAGTTATGACATCTCTGTGCTGCTACCAGTTAAGCAATAATTATCTACAGCCCTTAATGGTGGTGGATCTAGGACTAAACCTCAATTTCCCTTCTCATGTACTCAGCAATACTGCTTTTTAAACAAATAGCTGTAAGATCTGGCTCATGGGACAAAGTGCACCCTCACCAAGTTTGCAGATGATGCAAAATTGGGAGGAGTGTTTGATAGACCAGATGGTTGTGCTGGCATTCAGAGGTACCTCAACGGGCTGGAGAAGTGGGCAGAGAGGATCCTCATGAAGGTCAGCCCAGGTAAATGCCAAGTCCTGCACCTGGGAAGGAGACAGGCTGGGGACCCGCTGCCTGGAAAGCAGCCTTGCAAAAAAGGACCTGGGGATGAGACAAGTTTACCACAAGCCAGTACACTTCTGGGACAAAAGTCATCCTGGGATCCTCGAGATCATCACCATCAGGGTTAGGGAAATTATCCCTTTGCTCTAGTCAGTGCTCATGGGACCACATCTGGCATGCTGGTACAGCTCTGGGCTTGCCAGTACTAGAAAAGATGGATGTCCTGGGGCGAGTGCGGCAAAGGGCCACTAAAATGATTAATGGGTTGGAGCACCTGTCACATAAGGCCAGGCTGAGTCAGCTGGGACTGCTCATCCTCGAGAAGAGGAGGCTCAGGGGGATCTTATCAATGTACATAAACACCTGATAGGGGGCAGTAAATAAGACAGAGCCAAGCTCTTCCAAGTAGTGTCCAGCAACATGATGAAAGGCAACAGACACAAAAAGTAAAATACAGGAAATTCCACGTAAACGTAAGAAAAGGCTCTTTTTTACTCTGCTGCCCAGAAAGTCTGTGGAGCTTCCATCCATGAAGATGTTCAAAACCAAGCTGGACACGGCCCTGAGCAAACTGCTGTAGGTCACCCTGCTTGGAGTCAAGGGAGTTGGATGAGACAATCACCAAAGGTTCCTTCCAACCCTAACTATCCTGTGATCCCCACCCAATGGCAAGTGTCTCTAGAGTTCACTGCCTACTCCCCAGCAAGACTGGAAATCCAGAGACATTCCGAAGGTACTTTGCCTAATTCACAGGATGCCTTATTTCATTTACATGACCACATCATGCATGGAAGAGAGGAAAGGGAATACTTTCTCCGAAAAGTCTATCTTTAGTTCTGTGTTACAGTTAGTCCTAAGGAAGCCAATGAGCTTTAGACATGAAAACTGTCAGATGGAGTTCAGTTTTTTAGTTGTGGAAGGAAGTTGCATGGTATTGTTTAAATCCACGTACTGATACACAAGAATGAAAATTTAGATTCAGGAGCTTTGTACAGAAGTAATTTGTGCAATGATGGTATTTAAAGAACCCAAAGGCTCTTATTGTTACAGCTTTCTGCGCACACCTGGCAAGAGTCCTTCCCTGATCATAATAGTTTTGACTTCATTCATATTCCTCTTATACCAGAAGTCAAACTAAGGAGGAAAACACTTTTCCACAAAAATAAACAAAGCAAACCCACATAAAACATGAGCAAACAAGCAGAAAAATACAATGCCTACTGACAATCCATATGCTCTACTCTTTCCTGTTTAGGCTTCCAGTAGATCCGCATACATCACTCAATCTCACCTGCACAGCTAAAGAAGTCACTTCAGTCATCGCTTTGGATCACATCCAAAGACCATCAGAACCCCACCAGCCATGCACGTGCTCAGCTCCACTATTTCCCAATACACTCAAGTTGGTTTCTAACCTACAAATACAGTCCTAAAATTTAACAAGTGGAGGTTACAGAATCTGTTTTAAAAGCTCTGCTATCCACATGGCGACTGTAACCTCCTGGAAACTTTTACACCTGCCAACACAGAGCTTTGCTTAGCAGCACAATGCATGCAGCAATAACCTGAGAATAACATGGACTGTATCTGTATCTGCTAGACTCTGCTTCTCTCATCCGGGTACCTAGGCAAATATAATATCTGTTATGATAAAATATGAAAGAATCAGAACTTGGTAGTAATAGACACAATAAACCTATTTTATACCAGTATTTAGGTTTGGAAACCATAGATAGGAGGAAAAAAGTAAAACACTGGTCACCTGAATGGTTTTGAGTAGTAAAAAAAATAAGGCAGAAAAGCATCTGACAGACCAAATGAAGCACTCAAACACTTCTCTCAACTTTGCGTGGGTTGACCCTTTCAAACAGGTCTCAGCCTGTTACCATTCATGGGGTGAGAATAAAAGCAGAGCTAGCTCCAATCAAGCACATTTACAATATTAATCCGTGGTTACCGGACATGAGAAAAGAGACCTTTGGAAATGTAGGAAGTTAAAGAATCCCCCTGAAGCATGCTGCAATTTTAGTGATACTCGAAAAGCCAACTTAATTCAAGCGCTCTTTCCTTCCACTTCTGTCACCCACTGGGTAAAGTTACGCAAAGGAAGTACAAGACCATTGCTGAAAACATGCAGCTAAACAAGACTGCTGGATCATAAGTGTCAAAGAGAGCCCAAGGAGCTGCCTCATGGGCACTTCATGACAAAGGCAAGAGTAAGAAGAGGCAGCATGGCACTACACTTACTCTGATCTATCCTCCCTAGAAGTTCAGGTCAAACAACGGCTCCTCCTCCTCTCAGGTCCACGCACGACTGGAACAACAAAGGGCTCTTTCTCTTGGTCAGCATGTATGGCATGCCACTGGGAGACAAGAAACATCAAACATCAGCATCACAACACAGTCTGAAGATATCTAGTTCCACTGTTCACCATCCTCAAACTCAGCCAATAGCTATGCCCCACTTCATCACAGAGTGAGAAAGTCCCGTTTCAGGTGTCTGGCACAGACAAAACCACTGCCTCTAGGCAAGGGAAGAGGAGCTCGACAAAGTTTTGCTGTTTTTCAGATTGCCAAAGTGAAGCAGTGTCTTACTCTAACAATTCTGATACTCAAACAGAGAAAGACCTATCTGACTGCTAGCCTTCAGCAATTTAGATTTCCTTTCACCAGTGAAAGGTTTAGACTACGGGCAACTGCCCTTTTAGCTACCAGCTAGACTGTGACAAACACATCCCTGATGTCTGAAGTGTGAAAGCCACATTAAAAATAAAAGCCCTGCACAGACTAGCCGACTTGGTACATAATACGGGCTGCAGAGAGCATAACACACTGACGCACCACAATTTGGAACTCATCTGCCTTTTTAAAAAAACCAAAAACAAACCCAAACCATCAAACTCTAGGCCACGGGAGAACCCTGTCCCTTCATCAAGAGGAATCCCATTCCTACCTGAAGCCAGAGCACAACTTTCCTCAAAAGTACCTGACTGCCTCTCTGGTAGGCCCCAAGTAAGAACAGTTCAGATTAAGGGTGACATGTTAAAATGAAATTATAAGATCACAGCTAGCTGAATTTCTTTTAACCATTTCTGAACACAAGTCCAGACGGCTATAGTTAGAAATGGCAGGGGATAATTTGCCAGCACTGTTCATCTAGTCCATTAAAAACCCCAACATCCTCCACTTGATAAAGTAACAAAAGCTGGCAGCAACACACTGCAGTCAGAAGGGAGATGCTGACAAGTGATTTGCCGGCAGGGAGAAAAAGCACAAACAAGTTAATCAGAACACCCACAGCAATTTTCAAGTTGCATGCAGGCAGCTACTTCCTCAGCCAAAATTCTGAAGCAGTTTGGGACACTCAGGTGTAAGATACGGGCAGAAGGGGCTTTGCAGAAGCGGCAGTAAGATGCCCAGGTCAGTCCTTCCCATGCCATTCCTG